GCCGAAGAACTTTGCAAGCGAAGGTCCGTGCTGCGCACCGTGCCGCGCACCGAAGGAAGTTGCTTTGCAAGCTTTCGCCTACCCGAATAACTTGCGAAGGACTTGCAAGTAGTTGTTGGTCTCCTATTGAAATGAAAATTAAATTAATTATGCGCTTGCGACGGAGACTTGCATCATTAAATTGGTTTTCATTTCAATAGGAGCTTGCCTGCATGATCACGCACGCGAGCCATTTGAAAACTCCGCGAACGAAAGACATTTCAAAAGCTTGCATTATTACACGAACACACAGACTTGCTTTGCAAGCGAAAGATTTTCGCAGAAAAGTGAGCAAGCTACAAAGTAGGCAAGTATAGAAAATTGTAGGTATAGAAAATTCTCTTCTCTTTTTTATCCTTAGATTAAATAAAGACAAAAAAAGCGGCCAGTGAAACTGGCCGCGGTATAATAAATTTAATTGATAAATGCGTTTTTAAGTGTTAGCTACAGAATCCCCCGAAGAACTCTATTTTTCACCATTGCCGCGTGATTTTACGAACGTTTCCCCTATCTTAGCGAATCCATGAAGGATGCCCGTAGCCACCGCTTCTTCCATCCTTTGAGTCAAAGGCAGGCCAACCTCTGCTCTCGCTTGACGACGAAGCTCCGAGAGATCCGCCATAGTATTGCGCCAATCAGAAGAGCTCTGCGCACTCTTGTGAAGCTCGTTAAATGTTTTATTAACTCTTTCGTCGGTATGACTTTGTTCAAAGGCCCGAATAAATGGATATGCAAGAGAAAAACTCAAATGAATTCGAATTTTATTAAAAATGGAATTATCACAAAATTCTTTTAAAAACTCGACGCCAAATTCTTGTTTTAAAAAATCATAAAATTCTGGGACGAATTTACAAACTAAGTACACAACATATCCTTCGAATAAAAATAAGTAATAGAAAATTAAAAGCCAAGGAAAATCTTTTTCTGCCAACCCATATGAAGGGATTAAAATAAGTGAGAAAACAATCTGACCCACAGAAGTCTTCATGAAAAAAAAATAAAGCAGGCAGTAAGAAAGAAAAGAAAATTTAAAAGAAAGAACCTCTACTTCCCACAACACCATGAGAATAGCGCGCCAAGGGCTTTCCCAAAACAGCACAGAAGCGGTTTTTATGCCTAAAGAAAACTTATTAAGTATAGTTAAGAACGTTTTCTTAAAAAGTTGAAATTGAAATCGAGCAACATAGTTATCTTGCATCTTTTTTTTTTATTGGTTCGCTAAAACAACGAAATTGAGAAAAGCAAAATTATTTTATGGGCGCAGAAAATTATTATGAGCATAAGATTGTCACAGGAAAAACACATAATAATGCAAGCGAAACATTCTGAAACACATACAGCAAGCATGCATTATTATGCGGTGCGAGAGATTCCGTTTTTGAAGAATTAAAAACGGCGGATAAACCGCCGTGTCCTTTAAAGTACATGTGTTAACACGAAAACAAAGACGTATTTAATACTGATTAAAAGAAAAATCCTTAGAAGTATTAATATTAGATTTCGTGTAACCTCATGGTGAACATAATCTGCTAAAATTTCTTCTAAACCTAAATGAAGATGCCAAACTACTAAAATAGTTAAAGAAATCAAAGCCATCCGGTAGGAAGTTGACATAAAAATAGTAGGTAATAACAATATTGCGGTTGCTCGCTGAATAAGCCAATGATTCAAGGCTGAATGCTTTGTGTTCATGCTATTAGACTTGTTTTTTTAAAGAAAATAAAGCTTCCAACTATTTAAAAGAATTAAAAGAATTGCACTTAATATCACGACTAAAGCGCCTGTAATGTATACTTTTGATAAATCTAAAAAAAATCCAAAATCCCAAAGTAGATGACGAATTCCATTACTCGTATGATAGCATAAAGCCAATAATGCCAAATTAGCCAAGCTAAACAGAAACCAATCAAAATATGCTGTAATAGTTAAAAGACACCAATAAATTGGATAAAAACTTAAGCCAAGGTCGCATACCTTTAAAAACAATATAGTAAATAAGAAAAGGACTGCTAAAAATCCTCCAGAAATTCTATGAAAAATAGACAAAGTAGATGTAAGTTGTGGTTTGTATATACTAAGATGAGGTGATAATGGTCGATTAATCTTCATTGTATCATGTGCTTTTTTTCTAATCTAATTATCTTAAATCAAGGTGACAGGATTCGAACCTATGACCCTCTGTACCCAAAACAGATGCGCTACCAGACTGCGCTACACCTTGAAAAAATAGGTTCCGTAAAGAACAAGCTTGCGAAGCAAGCCTAGGTGCGAAGCGTCCACTCCTCTCTTGTTATTTGTGCTCCGTCGCCTACGCTTGCTTCGCCTCCTAAAGGAAGCTAATAAAATAATGTCGCTTGCTTGGTAGCACAGCACGCGCAAACTAAAGAAAGCAACTCTTTTTTATAATAAAAAAGAGTTGCTTCGCTTGCTTTGCAAGCTTGTTCTCTTTTTGGTTGTAGGTTTACCTAGAAGCACCGCTTGCGTCTCCGTCGCAAGCAAAGTTCTAACGGGTTTGCTTCGCTTACGATCTCACGGCCAACGGACCTAATTGGTTGGTTTCCACGAGGAAATTCGAATAACTTGCGATGCGCAAAGCGTGCGAGCAAGCATCATTATTTTATTGAGTGCCTAAATGCCCGCAAAGCATGCGAGCGCTTCGCTTGCGCTCCGCGCCCAAAGGTCCCTAAAGGAAGGAGCGGCTGCTTTGCAAAAAGCAAGCGATGGCGCAAAGCGTGCGAGCGCAAGCGAAGCAAACCACGCTAGGGCGAGCAAGCGAAGCAACCGTACGGTTGCTTGCATTATTTATTATGTGCGCCTAATAATGCCCGCGAGCTTGCGCTTTTTTTTTTCGCACAAATCAAATGTTGCTTGCGACTGAAAAAAGCTTTGCTTGCTCGCTTTGCCTGTAGGGCTTACGGCACATTATAATGTGCCGTAAGCCTCGCTTTGCGTCTACAAGCAACGAAGGGGGCGAAGCACCGCTTTAGGGCCGTCAGAGCGAGCAAGCTTTGTTTGCGACGGAAAGCTTGCGTGGCCTCCGGTGCGAGCGCAAGCGAAGCAAATCACGGTTGGACGAGCGAGCGAAGAAAAAAGAAAAAAGAAAAAAGCTCGCGATGGTCCGGTTTGACGAGCGCAAGCGAAGCAAACCCACGAAGTGTGCGAGCTTGCGAAGAAAAAAGCTCGCGATGGTCCGGTTGGACGAGCGCAAGCGAAGCAAACCCGCGAAGTGTGCGGCGAAGCTCGCGAAGGAGGCCTGAGCGCCTTCGGTGCGAGCGCAAGCTTTGCTTCTAACGGGTATGTGTCGCTTGCAAAGCAAGCTAGTCCTTACGGAGCCATCGCTTCGGCCCGTTTTCTTTTAAGGTTTCGAAGAGGGGGGCCGTCGGACCGGCTCGCAAAACATACCGCGAGTTCTTCGAACCTTCATTAGAGTCACTTACCTTCGTTCTAGCGAACGTCTCTGTGGGTTTGCTTCGCAAGCGCTCGTTTCAAAACCTAATAGGTAGAATGAATGCAGTATACTTTTATGATATCATAGTATATAACCGCAACTCTCATAATCTCATATTTCTTTTACTTGTCTAAATAACTTCAGCTTTACTTTGAGTAAAAAACAATACAAAGCATAGTTGACTAATCGAGAATGTTTTGCTTGCGAAGCGAAATATTCTTATCTATTCTATTATGGTGCTCAGAATCTGTTAATACATGTTTCGCGGTGTCCTAACGGCCATCCGGTAATCAATCATGCCTGATTGCCTCCGGCTGAAAAAAAAGAATGCGGAGCATTGAGCAAGCAACATGCATTATTCTATTGTTTTGGCTGGGAAAGATCGAAAATGCTTTGCGTCTTTCGCAAGCGCCATGCCATGCCAAGCATTGTTATGAGCGGTCTTGTATGTCTCCGTCGCAAGCTTTGCTTGCTCGGGTATTTTGCTTGCGTTGCAAGCTTGTTTTCGACCGCTTCGCGCCTTACTTAGGTTCGTCAAAGCGAGCAAGCGACATTATTAACGGAGACAAGTTCTTCGAACCTAACGTTCGTAAGAAGCTTCGCTTGCTTTGCAAGCTCGTTGTAGCGAACCTTCGCTTCTTTCCTGACGGAAACCTCGCAGAGCACCGAAGGCGACCTTCGCTTGCTTCGCAAGCTCGGGTATTTCGCTTGCGTAGCAAGCTACTCTTGAAAGAGCCTGACGCTTTCGTTTCCCCACAAGCAATGCTTCGCTTGCGTCTCCATAGGAGACCTTCGCTTGCCTTAACTAAACTAATAGGATACCTCGGGAAATGAGTTTGCGTAGCAAGCGAAACATAGACTTGCGACATTATTTCTATTTAGCGAAGCGTGCGAGCTTGCTTGGATTATCACGCTAAGAAGCAAACCCGAAGCACAGCAAGCTTCGCTTGCGTGCTTCGCAACTCCATGAAATTTTTCAATCGGACATTTGAGAAAAAGCCTAAGTAAAGACCTTCGATCCTACTCTACTATTTATTATGAAAAAAGGGCGCAAGCTTCTTATATCTTCAAAAAATTCTCTTAAATATGATAAAAAAAATACAGTAACGACTTAGTTCAAAAAAGTCTGTACGAAGATTCGCTAGAATATGTATTTTTAAGGTAATCTCATTTTTCTGCGCTTGGCGCCTTTTCAAATAACAAAATAAACAACGAATCATTTCATCATTTATGGATGAGTTGGACGTTTCGCACGTTAACTAGATAACTAATAAACTTGCTACTTTCGTTTATCCTTCGTACCTGAGATTTTTTTTATTTTATTAAATTAAAAACCATGCTTGGAAAGATTTGAACTCTCAACCCCCAAATCCGAAGTTTGGTGTTCTATCCAATTGAACTACAAGCATTAATTTGGTTAGATTCATCTAATCTAGTCAAAAATGGTTAATAAGTAAATAGAAGAAAAACCATAAATACTTAAAATACTTAAATAATTTAAACAATGTATTTAACTTTATTACTTTTTTTGTTACCACAAGACCGCCAGATCATGATCTCTTCGAAAATGACTAATAAACTTCGGATTTGGGGCCGAGAAGTTGGTATTTTATAATATCTTAATAACACAGATAATTAATCAGCGCGTGACTGAAGCAGAATAAACCTTTTAATTTCTGCCGCTTAGCAACTGTAAAAAGAATCACTTGATCATTTTTTTAAGAAAATAGATGATCAAATCAATAGGCGCGAAGCGTTTCAGCGCATTAGGTTTAAAGAAAAAAAGCAACTTATGGATCTAGTTAAATATTTAACGTTTTCAATGATTCTATTTCTTTTAGGTATCTGGGGGATCTTCTTAAATCGTAAAAATGTACTTATAATGTTAATGTCAATAGAATTAATGCTGTTGGCAGTTAATCTTAATTTTTTAGTCTTTTCTGTCTATTTAGATGACATGATGGGTCAATTATTTGCTTTGTTTATTTTAACAGTGGCTGCTGCTGAATCAGCTATTGGTTTAGCTATTTTAGTTATAACTTTTCGAATACGAGGTACCATCGCAGTCGAATTTAGGGCGACCGTGCTAAAGCACCTGCAGTGTACACGCAACTTATCCATAACCTGTGAGGGTTGGAAAAAAAAGCATGTTGTTAGAACCAGTTGTCCATAACATGACTGGTAACTCTAAAATTTAGAAACGAATTTGCTTAGAGATGAGCTTATCACAAATCAGAGTATCTTTCGGCCCACTGCGTGCCTATTGCTTAGAAAGCTACAAATAGTTAAAAACAAAAAAAAGAATCTTGCAAGATATTTTTTTGCGAAGCAAAACCTTCAAATCAATCAATATACGAGAAATCTTACTATAGTTCAAACTTAGGCAAACTGCTGAACGTTCGAAAAACTCGCGTAGCAAGTTGCATGTGTTTCGGATTATGTGCAAGTTGTATGTGTTTCGGGGGTTGCTTCGCTGCGCTTGTTTTCTTCGGGGCATTATTTTATTAGGCGCACATAATAAAGCAAGCAAAATTCTAACGCGCGGAGTGTGCTAGCTTGCAAAGCAAGCGTTTTTCAGGTTTGCAAAGCTTGCGTATAGGAGACCTGGTGGACCTTTACACACACTTAAAGAACTTATCTTGATTAAAAGAATATCCATGGAATTGCGATTGCTTTAAAGTTACTGCAAACTTCTTTTTTTTAGAAAGAACATCTTATGCAAGAAAGTCACGTACTTGACGGTGATAAATAACGATCAGGCGCGCAGTGCATGACAGATAACCTTTATTGGAACAGGGTACTTAATGACATCTCCAAGTAAACTAAGTCGTACTGCAGGTACTAACGGTGAGATCATTCTTACTTGCTTCGCAAGGTATCCTTCCTATCAGGCGGCGCATTATTAGATTATGCGCGGTACCGCTTGCAAAGCAAGCGAAAGGAGGTTCGAAGAACTTGCCTAGGAGACGCAAACGAAGCCCCCCGTCTACCACCACCACGAGAGAGATGGGTTATAATAATGAAGTCAGAGGATTTATAGTACTGGCCCCGCCTAACGGCGCCTTGTAAAAGGTAAGCAAAAAAATAAGGGAAGAAATCTAATCGTTTTAGCTTATAGTGAGAAACCTTTGAAACAATAAGGTGGGCGCCTTCGGCGCTCGTCAGAGTTAAAGTATGAAGAACTTGAAAATACTTTGAACAGGATACTTATAGGTTTTTTCTTTCTGGGGACCTACTTCGATAGTGCTAAATTGCAGCTTTGTCTGTTTTTTATAGAAAGTTCGAAACTCTGGGGTACATAGCAGCAACAACGGACTCGAGAACAAACCTCTCTAGTAGACTAGGAGGTCTGAATACAATTCAGTAACTTATCTCTATTCTATAAAGCTATGTACAATAACGTACTTAAGCTCAATTGGGAAAAGCTAAAAAATTTACTGCCCCCAAGTCTACCCCATAGAAAATTTTTTTGTCTTAACAGCTCATAAAGAAAATGGAATTACACTATCAAGTGTTAGATCTTTGTGCCTAGGCACAAAGATCTAAAAATAAAGATCTTCGATCATAGAAAAAAACGAAAGATTAATAAGCTAGACTGGTGAGCCGTATGATGGGTGACTATCTTGTACGGTTCGGAGAGCACTATAAATAAACCTAAAGACAACTTACGTAGCGCTGTCTGATCAAAAAAAAGAAAAGCTACCTTCGAGAACCTTTAGGAATATTTTTTTGACTCTATTTAATTCAATGAAAGGATAATTTTTTTTTTAACGCAGGGAGAGGGTTCGATTTTACTTTCTTAATACTCTGACGAGCCTTAGTTTTTACAACTCGGCCACTCTCCCAAATCTATTTTCACTAGAATTTTTTTGTAGGTTGCCTACAAGCTTAGTTTAAATAACAATTGTTTCGCATGTTTCGGAATGTTTCACACTAGTTTAATGCAAATGCTACGCATCTTTCGCCGGCGAAGCGAATGGATTGCACCAATGCAAGCAAGTGCTTCGTATCTTTCGCTTGCATTATTAAATTAAGGCGCGAAAACGGGTGCAAAATGCGAAGCATGTGAGCTTGCTTGCACACTTTAAGTTTAATGCACGCTAAGAAACACATAAGCTTGCTCTAAAGGTTCGGCAAGGCGCGGAGCGTGTGAGCAAGCAACATTTGATTTGTGCGAAACAAAAAAGCAGAAAAGCTTGCATTTATGGTTGGTTAGAAGAAGCATGCTACGCATTGAGCACCAGTAACATGGAAGCTCAACGCAAAGCATGTTTTCTGCGAAACATTATTATATTATTAAATGCATGCATTTAATAATATAATAATGTTTGCCTTTCGCTTTCAAGCAAGCTTATGTGTTTCGCTTTCAAGCAAGTATGTGTTTCGCTTTCAAGCAAGTATGTGTTTCGCTTTCAAGTGAAAATTCTTCGGGGCATAATAAAACGCGCATAATTTCTAACGAACCTAACTTTCTACGGGCATGCTTCGCACATAAAAAGAAAATGCAAGCTCTCGGGCATAATAAAGAAAACGCGCATATCCCACCCATGCAGCCTTCTTCTGGCGAACCAATAATGCCGCGCATGCATTATCCGCACTTTCCTTCGCGAGCTTCGCTCGCTCGTCCAACCGTGGTTTGCTTCGCTTACGCTCGTCCAACCGTGGTTTGCTTCGCTTGCGCTCGCACGCTTTGCGCCATCGCTTGCTTTTTTCTTTGCTTGCTCGCCCAACCGTGGTTTACTTCGCTTGCGCTCGTCCAACCGTGGTTTGCTTCGCTTGCGCTCGTCCAACCGGACCCTTGCTTTTTTTTCTTTGCTTGCTCGCTCTGATTAAGCTCACTACTAGGAGACCTAACGCGCCTTCGGTGTGAGCTTTATTATGCGCGACTCTAACGAGCCTTCGCAAGCTTCGCTTGCTCGGTGTGACGGAGGGGGGGCGCGCGCTCGTTTTATTTGAAAGGGGAAGGCCCGGAGCGTGCGAGCGCAAGCGAAGCGGTATGCTTTGCAAGCGCCTAACAATGCCCGCGAGATAATAAAGCAAGCTCGCACGCTTCGCGTCGTTATCGAAGAAAAACAGTTGGCGTTGGGGTTCTGCATAAAAACGCACGCCAGTATGTTTTCGTGCATAATAAACACCGAAGGCGCCAGTTGGGGTGCGAAGCGAGGTCTGCTTGTAGGTTTCCTACAAGGACCGGAAGCGACATTATTAGACGACGGATACTTGCGAAGCTTCTAACGAATAGGTTTGGGATAAATTTGCATTCGGACATTTTCTTCGCACCTACGGACATTCTTTCTTCGATTTTTTAGTTCTTGAAACAATTAGAAGACTCCTAAAGAATCAAGTGGTTAATGAAAAGTGTAGTTGCGGGTTCGGAATTTCAAGATTTTTGAGTACCCATACAAGCGAAGTCTCCTAGTTAAAAGCACTGGGAGAGGCAGGATTCGAACCTACGTAGAAGACTTTCAACAGATTTACAGTCTGTCGCTTTTAACCACTCAGCCACTCTCCCTTAAGAGACACCGATGATCTTTCATCGAAATTGTAATGCCAACTTTGTACTCAGCTACTCAACAACTAACAGGCTAAAATGAAATTGTTAGACGCGAATCCAATACAACAAATTGAAATTTTTTTTTCAATCTATCTAACAAAAAAGTAACTCAAAGATAGGTGCATTCTTAGCTCAGTTGGATAGAGCAACAACCTTCTAAGTTGAAGGTCACAGGTTCGAATCCTGTAGAATGCGTTTGTTTGCTTTATTTTATCGAAAAGGAATAGGTTCCCTGAGGTGCGCAGCATCAGTGGGTATGAAGACAAAATCTTCATACCCACTGATGTGTACTAAATACCTACTAAGACCAACGATTCAGTTACTTTAGTTTCTAGGAAACTAGTAAACTTCTAATCTTGGAAAATGTTTCGCTTGCGAAGCAAGTTTTCGCGCCATAATCACATATGGTTCTCGGGTATATATGCATGACGCGCTTAAACGGCCCCCAAATCGTCCATTTACGCAAGCGGTCCAGGGTGCGACTCTGACGCCCCTTGCATATATGTATGTGAAAGCAAAGTTATAACAGGTTCGCTTACGCTCGCACTGAAGGCGCCTTGTAGGCGCAAAGCGTTCGCTTAGGTCTCTACAGGAAACTTACAAGCAGCGAAGCTTGCGAAACAAATCCGGTGCTAAACGCAGCGCCTTCGCTTGCTTTGCAAGCTCGTGGCATAACAAGCGCATTATAGTTTGCAGAAGTCAAGCTTGCAAAGCAAGCTTTGCAAACCCACAGAAAGCAACGCGCCTTCGCTTGTTTCGCAAGCTCGCACGCTTCGCGACCTTCGGTGTGAGCGCTTGCAAACCTTTGCTTCCCCTGCAGCGGTGCCTGCCTTTAGCAACGACGTCTCCGTTAATAATGTCGCTTGCTCGTTCGTTCCGTAACGGAACCAAAGGTTAGGTTCCGCGCTCTCCTCCCTCCCCTAAAGGAACCTCGTTAGAGTCTGCGAACCTTTAGGTAGGCTCTTTTAAGATAAGATTAGGCTCTTTTAAGAGTTGCGAAGGAGACCTTTAGGTTCGTAAGAAGGCAAGCTTTGCGATGCTTTTGGGGCATTATATTCTTACGCGCTTGCTACGCAAGCTAATTTCTAGGCGCGAAGCCAACGCGCATAATGAATGATACAACCTTCTGGTTCGCTTGCCACACAACTTTCTTCGGATATGCTCTGCTTCCCTGCATGCTTTGTGTTTCGCAAGCAAAGCTTGCTCGCACGCTCTGCGCCTTCTGCGGGTTTGCAAAGCTTACGCTCGCACCGAAGGTTCCGTTGCGATAGCGTGTGAGCAAGCTTTGCTTGCGAAACAAAACGAGCAAGCTTGATTTGTGCGAAGGCGCCTTTAGAAAATTCGCGGTGGTGCTCCCAACTAATAGGTTCCTTTAAGCTGCCCTTTAGTCGCCTAAACGGCAACCTGGCGGAACCTTTAGTAAACCTATTTTTCTTTCTGCGAACCTGGATTTCGAGTTCTTGTTTAACTTTTGTTATTTGTCAAAGTTTACGACGAAATCTTTCTAGTTACTATTATAAAAGATAAGCCTTATACTTGTTTCGGATTAAGGCTAGAAAGATAGTTATCTCAATTAAAAGAGAAATTGGTAACCAAGCTGCGATTTGGCACCAAATATCCGGAGGTGTTACTAAAGCTGCGAATATAGCAGAAAATACAAAGAATGTTCTTCGATGTTTGATGCAATCTTGTAGATCAATAAAATTATATTCTATACAGCATATAAAAAAGACAGGTACTTGTGAACACAAAGAAGCTATAAACAAAAAACGTAACGTCAATAGAATAAAGTCATATATTTTAGGCTGTAGATGAATAGTTAAGAGACCTCGTGAGACTGTGAAGCTGCTTACCTTATATAAAAAAAACCAAATATTAGGCATTATCCACAAATAAACTAGTAAAAAGACAAACAAAAAAGCGAATAGACTAAGGAGAATTGCACGCCATAGTTGTAGCCTTTGAGTTTTACTACAACTCGGGATGAAAAAACACCATATTTGATATAGTAAATATGGTGTACAAAAAAAAAAGGATAGTAAAAAAGAAGTGGTAATATAAGTATTAAAGGATTCTGTGAGTTGAGTACATATAAAATTTGAGTTTGCTTTGACCACTTTCAGAAAAGGCTTAGTTAAAATAAATAACAAATATTCAGAAAAACAATAACAATAACTACATGTGACAAGAAGACAAAGGGCACCATAGGTGCCACGGATTCGAGCTTCCTTAAAAATAAGTTCTAAAGAAGAATGCATAGATCTATTATTTTTTATAGTAAATTAAACTGATTCCGATGTCAGTAAGAGCATAAGCGACATAAAATGAGGTTCCTTTAGGTTCCGTTAGGTTCGTCAGAGCGAGCAAGCAAAGCTTGCGAGTAAAGCTTACAAAGAAAAAAGCAAGCGATGGCGCCTTCGCACAAATCAAGCTTGCTCGTTTTGTTTCGCACAAATTTGCTCATTCTGACGAACCTAACGGAACCTTCGGTGCGAGCGCAACCAAACCACGCTAGGGCCAGCAACCTTTACTTGCGAAGGTCCGTAAGGACGAGCTTGCGAAGAAAAAAAAAAAAGCAAGCGATGGCGCAAAGCGTGCGAGCGCAAGCTTTGCAAACCACGGTTGGACGAGCGCAAGCTTTGCAAACCACGGTTGGACGAGCGCAAGCGAACCGCGAAGTGTGCGAGCGAGCGACATTTAATTTGTGCGAAGGAGTTCCAAGACAAACATGTCCCATAGTTACGATGTAAAAAAGCTGGAATCCAGCTTTTTTTTACATCGTAATTTTTTACTGTTCTATCTTACAATTTTCAAAAATTGTTCACAGTTCGCTTTAAAGTTGGATTCTTTTGTCTCTTTCTTCATTACCAAGTGCGTAGTAAGCGTAGTAATTTGTGGAGACTTTATTGAAAATTTAAAATAAAAGATCTAGATCTATTTTGTAAGGAAACTGAATCTGGTTGGGTTCATATAAAAGAACGGCGTTCAATGTTTTATAATTTACTTCCATATGAGATACTTTTGGATAAATTCGATTGTTCTCTTGATTTAACTTAATAATAGATCTAAGCAAATTAAAATGACTAGGTGCGCAGCATAAAATATCGCCTGCTTCTAAAGTAGCACTAGGTATGTCTACTACCCGAAAATTCACACAAATTTTTCTATGTGCTATTAGCTGTCTTGCCGTAAAAATAGTAGAACAGAAATTAATACGAACAAGAATTACATCTAATCTTGTTTCAAGATTTAATAATAAGCTTTTTTTTTTATCCAAGTAACTATAAGTAAGATTTGACAAAACGCTTGGCTTAACGCCGTAAAAAAGAGATAATTTTTTCATATGTTGTAATTTTATGGAAAAATCAGATTGCTTTCGATTTGTCTTGTTTTTTAATCTACTAATTAAAGTGTGTTGCTTCGGAGTAAGTTTTTTGGTTTGCCATATATTTTCATATATTTGACGACAAACTTTAAATTTGGAATAAGCCATTTCAAATTTTTTTCTATTTTTAAAGATCAGAACGGAACGTAAGCTAAAGTAAGAACTATCGAATTGGGAAGGTATCCGAAGGCGCAAAGCTTGCGACGGAGACGCAAGCTTTGCAACCCCGCACACAATCCCCCTCGCTCGAGGCTCCTTTAGGATAGGAGCGCACCCCATCGGTATCGGTGCGAGCGTAAGCGAAGCAAACCCGAAGAAACTTTAGTTTGCGCAAAAATGCCCAAGCTTGCAAAAAAGCAAGCGATGCGCAAAGCGTGCGACCTTGCTTTTTTGCAAGCGCCTAACGATGCCCGCTATAACGAGCGCAAGCGAAGCATCCCCCGTTTAGCACTGCGAAGCAAACCCGAAGAACGGTTTCCGGAGGTTGCTTTAGGGCACCAAAGGTGCCGCTAAAGGGCAACCTGGCAAAACCTTTAGGAAAGGAGACTTGCTACGCAAGCGAACCAAAAGCAAAGCTTGTGCTTTTTTGTTTCGCAAGCTTTCCCGAAAAACTTGGATTATCACGCGCGCGAAATACCCGAGCAAGCTTTGCTTGCGACCGAGACATGAAAATTTTCTGCGGACATAAGAACTGCGGACATTCTTTTAGAACCGACATAATAAAAAATAAGTAAGAAAAAGATTTTTTTTTCTGCTTCGCACCATCGAAGGGGACCTCACAATGCGGAGTTCTTCGAACCTCTTCTTTTAACAGTTTTACTTGCGAATCGATACAGCCGGATTTTCTAAGCGACTTTGTCGCAATGGTTGGCCGGCTGTTTAATTGGTTTAAGTTATTGTAAAATTCAATTTGTTAAAGAAAATTCAAGGCTCGTTAGAGTATTAATTTGCTTTCTAATTTGCCAAGAACAGGTAATATTGCGAAGTACAGAAAAAAACCTAAGGAAGCTATTTGTCCAATAGTTACATAAGGAGCTTCTACAGGTTGACATCCAATCCAACCTAAAAGCAAGCAATCTGCTACAAGCAACCAAAATAATTTTTTATGAATTGGTCGAAAGCAAGAACTTCGTACGTACGAAGTATTAATAAAAGGTAAAGCAAATAATGAAACAAAGACTAGTCCTATAGCAGCTACACCCCCTAATTTATTAGGAATACTTCGAAGAATGGCATATACAGGTAAAAAGTACCATTCAGGTACTATGTGAGCTGGAGT